GAAGATGAAGTCCCGATGGACCTGATGCAGACATTGGATCCAGGCATCAGAGGGGGAAAAACTTACAGAATAGGGTTTTTTTTAGGGAAACAACAATGGTTCCAGAAAGAACACTAGATTTGTTTATGAGGAAACTGGTGATTCAAGGGAGTATCCCAAAATTGTCTTGATCTAGTTAGATAACAGCAACTGATTATTCCTGGCAATGGGTGGTGTCCCTTCAAGACAACTCCCAATGCAAATAGGCAGCCTTCAGGGGTACCAATACAGGATTAATTATTATAATTGGTCAGATAACTACTGAGCAGGGTGTGTGCAGGTGTGGGTTCATGAACATGTGGAGCAGAGATTTCTCCCATCCAGCAATGCTTCCCTACTTTTCTGGCCCCAGAGTTCAGTGTGGTTCTTGCCTTGGAATCTCTAGTCTCCATTCTGTTTGCTAATGGAAATATCTTCCTGTCCCATCTTTGATATAAATGAGGCTAGGGGAGTTTTCTGTCACCTTTATGTGGAGGGATTTAGATAAATCTCTCACTGCCTTCTCATTGACTTTTGGAAGTCTTTTTTTTCTGACTGGTTCAAGCGGAAGCTAGCGTGTGTGTGTGTGTGTGTGTGTGTGTGTGTGTGTCCCCTTCAAGAGACAGTCAGGATACTTCACTGGTGCAAAAGCAGGGAGACGTTTTTAATATCATTGCTTAGACTGTAACTCATCGAGAGTAACTTTGTACTTTGTTCTCCAAGGCTGCAAAGCAGTCATCTTGTTATGAGTCTTGTACTTAGACAGGGTCAAAATCCTTGCTCACGCTAAAGCTCCTTTTGCTGTTAATAGACATTATGCCCAAGTAAGATCACGAACAAAAGCCTGCTAAGTCATTGGAAAATATTCCAGTGACTTCTGTAGGCTTTGGATCAGGCTTCAGAATTTGGCATCTAATACTTTTTTTCTTTAGTTACATCAGATATAAAAATGTAAATGACTAATACGAGGCTCGACAGCTTAGGTCTGCCAAGAAAAAAAAGCAGCATCAGAAGAAAGTAGTGTAAACAATTTTAATGGAAGGGTTTTTGTAAATGTTGGCCGCACAGACTCCAGGCAGAACACAAAATTCAAAGGAAGTGGAAAGCCTCAAAAACCTCAAAAACAGGGAGTAGGGAGATTTTATCTGGAGTGCTGATAGGGGAAACAGGGGAGTCTGATTGTCCAAAGCCACTGGAAATGATACATTTTGTTTGGGGGATGTCTGATGGTAAAAGAAACATATAATCTACAAAACTAGGACTTTTTGTAGGAGCTATTCTGCTGTGATAAACACATTCATTCTATTCATTATCATTGAATGAAACTGGATATTAACTTCTATTCACACTTACAGTGGCAACTAATTATAGCTCTGCTGTACACAAAATAAATACCAGATACAGTAATTTAATTGATCAACGCCCAGATTCTATCCAGAGTTTGTGTAAATGAATAAGGGAGGAGATGGCACAGATTTAGGACTGCCATATAGCCATTGTGTAGCAGCCAAGTACAACCACCATCCCCATACTCCTCAGAGCTCTGGGACTGCTCCCTCCTACAAGCCATAGGGGAGTCCATGGCTTATCTCTTGCCCTGGCCATCAGAGATGGTCAGGTACAGGAGGGAACATGCCACATGCCTTCAAATGTGGCAGAGTAAGTGCACTGCTTCTCTATATTCAGGAGTTCTGGGAGGAAACATGGAATCCCTGCAGCAGTGCCAACTAGGGATAGGGGATGGCAGGTCTGTGTTGCCTGTAGTACTTGTCAAGGACAATCTGGCCCCAGAAGATTCCCTTCCCCTGTTTTACATATATAAGACCATGAGGTGAAGGTTGCTGGTGTACAGAGGAACGCATGCCTTCACCCTATCGCAACTTGTATGTAGGAATTAACAAAAGGGACCTGTTCTCAGACTGAAGGGTGCAGCTCTACTATGTATAGTTCATGAGTGTGTTCATCAGAAATTCAGCTGGGCAGCAAGCTCTCAAGGGATATGAGGAGGACCAATATTGCTCAGGACTGGAAGCAGAGTGGAGTGGAGTTGGACTCAGACTCCGGGTGCCAGAGATAATGTGCATGGCTAGGCAAAGTAAGAAAAAATGCTGCTGCTTTAGAACTAAGAGAATTGATTTAAGGACGTTTTGTATATCTCGACATATGATGTCGACAATTTGTGTTTTGATTACTATAAAGCTTTAATGTTTTTCATCGCAATGTTTATGGTCATTAAATAATTGTTGTGTAATGTCCACTAGTTTGATCCCTCCATAACTTTTTACTATTGCAAAATCGTAAATCAATAAAAACATAATTCTTAAAAATAGACATATCTGTTGAAATTAAAAAAAAATTGAATTCTGACAAACCTAGTCATAATGGCAGAGCTGTAAATTCACAACTCATCCTCCCTCCATATTGTAGATAAATGGCATAGACTCTTCCTATATTACAAATTCTACAGTTTCTCCTCCCCTATGCTCTGAATTCATTGTTAAATGACTTCTTCAGTTCATATGGTAACACTGATTTTCTATATAATATTCCAGTGGAATTGTCTCTGCCTTTGAATTTTTTATTTCTTATTTTCTCAGCTTTTGAATTCTGATCTAATGGATTTCTCTTTCTCTTATATGACTATAACATACATATGCAATCATTTTTTCTATAACTCTACTTGGTTTCTGATGCACCTAATAGTAGCGGGAGACTATAAGAATCAATATACTGGAAGAAATCAAAGGCCCATCTAGTTCATTATTATACTGACTGGATGGCTCAAAGAAAAAAGAAAAATCCCTTCTCTGGCCATTTTACTCTGAGTGTCACAGGTGAATTATATGTTACATAAAAGTGTTTCCTTTACTCTGTTTCAAGTGTAATCTCTTTTTAATGAGTACATCTCCTTGTTCTTACATCATTGGAAAGGTAAACTGAATTTACCCCTAAGCCATCCAGGCCACATCTACATTGGCATGATTTTCCGAAAATGCTTAACGGAAAAGTTTTCCGTTAAAAGCATTTTCGGAAAAGCACGTCTAGATTGGCACTTTTTGCGGAAAAGCGTCCGTGGCCAATCTAGATGCAGTTTTCCGCAAAAAAGCCCCAATCGCCATTTTCGTGATCGGGGCTTTTTTGCGGAAAACAGTACTGTGCTGTTTACACTGGCCCTCTTGCACAAATGATTTGCGCAAGAGGGCTTTTGCCCGAACGGAAGCAGCACATTATTTCCGCAAGAACACTGACGATCTTACATGAGATCGTCAGTGTTCTTGCGGAATTTCAAGCTGCCAGTGTAGACAGCTGGCAAGTTTTTCCGCAAAATCATCTGATTTTGCAGAAAAACTTGCCAGTCTAGACACAGCTCCAATGTTTTATTATCATTACTAAAGGGCTGCACCTTCTGCTTGCTGCACTCACCTATCCATCTGTTTCACTTTGCTATTGCTTTGCTGAGAGCGTCTGTTGATGCTGATGATGTCATTCTGTCGCCCGGCAGGAAAAACTTATATAACAATATATACTATTGTTCTTTTTTCAAATTAAAAGTACTTTCATGGTGTCACTCCAGGTACACACCAACGTAAAAGAGCAGAGTTTGGTTCAGTGTTTTTAATCTCGTAATATGGATTACTTCTACTTTTCCATGGCCATGCCTTCAATTATTCCTCTATATGTTGTCATTTTTTTTAAGATAAAGAGCTCACAAATGAAGAAAGCATCCAAAGATAAGTATCTACCATCAAGTGATTATAAACAAAAAAGTTTCCTCAGGTGTGCCCTGTTTGCGCTTGGGAAGGATCATTCTGGATAGCAGCCAGCATGTTAAGAAAACAGGGTGGGGCTATGCTTCCTGTTCTAATCCTGTTCCTCTCCTCTTTAAACTGGTGCTGCTTCTTTACACAAACAATGTGAGAAGCAAATATTGTGTGGGGCTTGATGCTGGTCTGTCTTCAAATACCCTCTAAATTGTTTGGGAAAAGGACTAATCAATTGTTCCCACTCCTGTCCCCCTTTCCAGCCTCTGACAAACAGAGGCTAGGGACACCATTCCTACACATCCTGGCTAATAGTTTTTGATGGCCCTAACCTTCATGAATTTATCTAGTTCTTTTTTGAACCCTGTTACAGTCCTGATCTTCACAATATCCTCTGGCAAGGAGTTACACAAGTTGACTGTGCACTTCATGAAGAAAAACTTCCTTTGGTTTATTTTACACCTACTACCTATTAATTTCATTTGGTGATTCCCCTAGTTCTTACATTATGGGAACATTTGCTGATTCCCCTAATTCTTACATTATGGGAACAAGGGAAAATAACTTTTCTTTATTTACTTTTTCCACACCAGTCATGATTTTATCGACCTCTATCATATCCATTCTTAGTCTCCTCTTTTATCAAGCTGAAAAGTCCCAGTCTTTTAATACAACTAACATTTTTGGAAC